CTGGTGAAATGTGGAGCACAGCCTGCTGAGGCAGGTCGCCGCCATTATAGACACCCATGGTCTAAAACGCTGCATTTATGCCACAGCTAAATCTAGGTTTTACTCAAAGTGCGCTGCAAGCCAAGAGCGATGCACTTGGAACACAGGTGGCTTGTTTGCTCCATCCTGCTGCTTTTTGCTCCAGCAGCTACAGAGCTCAACATCGGCCTCAGCTACCTTGTAGGCCATATGGGAACTTTCACCCTGTTCAAAAGCATGGCCAGTTAATCCTAGCTTGATACTAGGGAAAGGCACTTAAGAGGATGTGCTAATGCCAGTTGTTTTTCTCTGTAGCTTTCTCCTTCCTTCACCCCTACCTCAGTGATTCGTAAGATGTATGAGAGCAAAGAGAAAAGCAAGGAGGAACCACCATCTGGAAAAGCTGCTCTTGGTGACAGTAAAGAGGAAACTCAGAAGGCCAGTGAAGGTACTGCAGAGTTCAGGGTATGCTGCTGAGGAAAGGGTGTTACAAAGAACTGCCTGAGCACAGCAGTGGAAAGGGCTGGGCCAGCTCTCAGGCTGCTTGAAATTCTGACCAATCGAAGATTGTGGTTACAGAGTGCTACTTCAGACGGGAAGAACAAGGCTAAATATAGGATCCTCATTTAGACTTCATAGACTTCAAAGTTGACCAGTTAGTACATTAAATTATGATAGTTCAACATCTTATTTCTTAACACTTCCCTCTAGTTTGTGGAGTCTTAAGTGCATATCAAAATGTGCTGAGTTAAACATAAATATGAAGTATGTCAGAGCCTTTTAGAAATATATAGAAAATGGAGGCCGGCATGTGGCATGGTGGTTAAGGGCACTGGATTCCCACATGGTCAACTGTGGTTCGAGTCCTGGACCTGGCGGCTTGCTTTCTCACTTCCCTCTCACTCTGTTCCTCTCTGGTCAAATTTAAATTAACAATGTTAAGTAAAATAGTAGTATATAGAAAATGTAGGAGAAGGTTTTAGGAGTTGCACAGTAGGGCTTGAGGACTTGGTGACAAAGATTCTAATAAGTTAGGGTTTACAGCATTGGCAAGAGCTTTTTGCCTGTGTTGGAGAAGGCTTTTGGGGGTGGAGTATCCTTTTTGGCAGTTCACATTCTTTGAGAATGATAGTTGATTTTAAAATTTTCTATTGTGATAGATTTCCAAACTTTTATATTTCCTTGACTTTCTCTTTGAGAAGTATGTTAATCCCAGTTGGCTAACTAGTTTGAGATGGCCAGATCCTAGTCAGCCCATTGGGCAAGCAGGGTGCCCAACTGAGTTGGACCACCAGGCCTCATAAACCAGGTGCTTATGTAGCTATTCCTGAGTGGGGGGATGTTCTAAGAATAAAGATGAGGGCTTCTTAACAGATGTATCATTTATAATCTCAGGGCCTTTGTTTTTTTAGAGTACATTAAAATTCCTTTGTTCCAAAGGCATGAAAGATCAGAAAACTTGGAGTCTGGTCCCTGCTCTGTATCTAACTACCCTTATGACCTTGACTCATAATTTGTCTACTGGGCTTGTTTGTGTGGCCCCTACCATGCAGTCTTCTAAACTTGTCTAGGGACAAAATAAGAATTGTAAGCTTCTGAAGCAGTAAGATTTACATTGGGAGGCCAAAGTGTTTGGGAGGTGTTTGGCAATACCAAAATACTCTGTTTGGATCCTTACAGACAACCTCCTGTCATCCAATGCTGTATCTAATGTTGATCAAGACTCTCCTCCCACCACAAATCCTAAACTGTCAACGTTACAGCGGTCTTCGTGTTCCACCCCACTCTCCCAGACCAACCGTTACACCAAAGAACAAGATTACCGACCTAAAGGTGGGAGAAAGACACCCACTTTGGCGTCCCCAGTTCCAGGAACACCTTTTCTCCGGCCTGTCCACCAAGTTCCCCTCGTTCCCCATGTCCCTATCGTTCGTCCTGCTCACCAGCTTCACCCAGGGTTGGTCCAAAGGATGCTGGCCCAGGGAGTACATCCACAGCATCTTCCAAGTGTGCTTCAAGCTGGTGAGTTTCTGACCTAGCTTGGTTTCAACCTGTGGTTCTGGCATGACACAGGTTGCTGGCACTAACAGGTATTGTTGCCCAACAGGTGTGCTTCCTCCTGGAGTGGACCTGACTCACTTACAGGGAATATCTGGCCCAATCCTGGGTCAGCCCTTTTACCCTTTACCTGCTGCTAGTCACCCTCTCCTAAACCCTCGGACTGGGACACCTCTGCACCTGGCAATGATGCAGCAGCAGCTACAGCGCTCAGGTAGGTTGAGGAATGGGCAAGGTGAGCTCAGGATGGGCTGAGTAGACTTGAAGCTTTTAGATCCAGTCTCTAGTGAAGGGGATGAATTGACGCTGATGCTTCATTTTCAGAATTGTCCTAGCAAGATCAGGGCGTAACTAGATATGATAAACCCACCTCTCTGGGACTTAGGATCACTACTTACAAAGACAGCAGTTGAGCCAAGTGTGCTCTGGCTTTCTTTGTCCTTTGCCTCTTAGGAGAGAAGGCTGAGTGTCCTTCCAACAGAGCTTCCGCATAGGGCCTGTCCAGGGTAAGATGGCCTCTCACCAGCTAATGGTAGTGCTCCTGTGAGTTGGCTGCTTGCTATGGGAGGTAGTGGTCTTATCACCCAGGATGGGCTGCAGTACTGATGGCTTTTGACTAGTTCGGCTTTTCCCAGGTATTGTCTTCTGGCACTATTGACATCTTGCAAAGGAATTTCTTTTTTTTTTTTTTGGAGAGGTTTTCACTATAGGGCGCGTGCGCTCGCCAGACAGACAGAGACATAGAGACATAGAGACAGAAAGCGAGAAATCACCCCCCAGGGGGGATGGTCACGCCGCAGTCCCTTCTCCTCCATTCGCCTCTCGAGATCTTGGGCACGCACGCACACGCGCCCGGCGTGAGATTTAAGTCGCCAGGTCTGAGACGCGAACCGCGGTCGACTACGTGGGAGTCCAGCAACATAGCCATTATGCTAACTGCTGGTTCCCTTGCAAAGGAATTTCTTAAGAAACCCTAGAATAAATCCCCTGGTAAAGACTCTTTTTGGAGTTTTATAGTAGGACTTTAACGAAGCACGGACTGATAAAGAACTACCTTCCTCCCCATGCTTTGAATGATAACGCATCTTATCTCCACAGTTCTGCATCCTCCAGGCTCTGGTTCCCAGACAGCAGCCGTTAACGTTCAGACCGCCCCTCAGAATGTGCCCAGCCGGTCAGGCCTGCCCCACATGCACTCCCAGCTGGAGCACCGCCCCAGCCAGAGGAGCAGCTCCCCTGTGGGCCTTGCCAAGTGGTTTGGCTCAGACGTCCTACAGCAGCCCCTGCCTTCCATGCCCACCAAAGTCATCAGTGTAGATGAACTGGAGTATCGACAGTAAGCAGAACAGGCAGGCTCACCCAAGCCTGGACCTCTGGTACCTGATCAGGACTCACTGCCTCATCTTGGGTTGATTTACGGGCTGTCACAGTGGAGCACTCTGTGCGAAGCTGTTTGGGGGCCCATGCACCTGCTGTGGTCTCCATTATGAGGAAAAGAACAACCAATACAGTGGAGTCTACATTGTCTGAATATGGGATGCACGATGTTGGCAATCCTAGAAAGTTTTTCTTTTTGTAACATATGTGAATGAAGTGTTGGTGTCTTCACCAAGAGGTGGCACCTAAGGGTTCTAAGGAAATAAATGTATAGACCCTTATGTACAGACCTGTGTATAAACAACTTTTGTATATACATATAGGATAGCTTTTTTGAACTTATACAGCTGTACATAAAAGTAGCTCATATTAGTTAAGACTTTGTGAAAAGTTGGTTTTTTTTTTTCACTTGTACATTTGGGTTTTTTTTTTCTTTTGATGATTAAAATTGCATATGCTATGTGTGTGAATGAAGTGAATGGTCTTGTGTTTACTTCCTCAATCCCTTCCTCCTCGTTTCTAATCAGCTGAGACATGTGATCTAGTTGGTTACTTGAAGTAAATTATCTGAAGTCTTTTTCTTTAAAATTCAGGGATATCTAAAGTTTAATTTCCAAAATTAAACCCATCTACTGAAAACAGCTTATTATAGTAGTTTCTTCCAAACACATAACATTTACTGCGACATCCCATTTCTCCAGGTTAGAGTTCTTTTTTTTTTTTTTTGAGAGGTTTTTGCTATAGGGCGCGTGCGCTCGCCAGACAGAGACAGAGAGACAGAAAGCGAGAAATCACTCCCCAGAGGGGATGGTCACGCCGCAATCCCTTCTCCTCCATTCTCTCGGGATCTTGGGCACGCATGCACACACGCCGGCATGAGTTTTAAGCCACTGGATCCAGGACGCGAACCGCGGTCAACTATGTGGGAGTCTAGTGACATAGTCATTACGCTAACTGCTGGTTCCCTCCAGGTTAGAGTTCTGATTCAATCCATTAGTCTAATTTCACCATACAGAACACTTCCCAGAAGCCAGGCGGCGGGCAATAGAGACACTGCTGCGAGATGCTAGAGGCCACAGAGGAAAGCTTCACCCTTTGCATCCCAGGCCTTCCCGAACATGTATGCCCACAACTGGCTGCAGGTGCAAGGAAGGATCACACTGAGGACCCTGTTGAGGGTACCCAACTCCTTCCCAAGAGATAAACTTTACAAGCATCCCTTAAAATGTTCTGCCTGTGTTAACTGATAACCTTTTGTGCTGTACCTCATTCCTTAGTACACAATCGTTTTATCTGCCTTAGCTATACGTATAGCACTAGAGGAAAAGGAGTCTACCCAACTACTACAGGGTCTTGAATCCCCTAACAGTTTGTCTTGCTGATCTCAGGTAATGATAGTTCTCAAACTCTCAAGCTCATGTGCCTGAGTTGTAGATACTTGTCCATTTAGGATCATAAAAGCTTCCCACTCTTAAATAATGAAACCTATGTCCAATTGGCAGGTGATAGGCAAGGTGGTGGCATTTTGATCAGAAGGGTAGAAAAGCCTGAGTCGTGAGTGTGAGGGGTGATAACTGTCAACCTGGAACTGCCTACCCTGCCCTGTACCTGGAGGAACAAAGTGGAAACCTGGCTTTTTGGTTTAAGCATGAGGTCAGTCTCTGATACTTTCAACCTTACTAGTTACCTATTCCCCTCCTCGAATACTGTTTTCTTTCAGTGTGACTCCTCCGCTTCAGAAACAGACCCTATGTTTAGAATTCTTGGCAAGGGCTTTTTTGCTTCTACAGTTGGAGGGTGGAAAGCAGTTCTAAATGTCCATGGCAAAACACAGATGCCGAAATCTAGTTCACCTTTCTTGTGCATGCTCTTCCACTAGTCCCCCTTCACACTGAAGCAACAGTAGAGTAGGAAGATTGGGTTAAAGCTGCCAGTAAAACCTTTTCAGGTTAGAAGTTTGTGGGACAGAAATGAACAAATGTAGACACCAAGCAAAAGGCAAAAAGCATTAGCCTGTAATTGGTGAGAAGTGAGGAGGAAGTGAGCACTGCTAAGATTATCACAGAAGAAGCTAGACATGCAAGTTGTAACAAAACTATTTTGGTTTACATGTTGGACTGGAGGAAGGGGGAAAGGGATAGAAGCAAAAGAGAAAGTTAATGTAATATTCCAGGAGCTAAGACTGATACAGATGAGAGCAGGGAGGCCAATAAAAGATGTCTTGGAAGCAACTCTGGTAAGTCTACCAGGTACAAGAGTTTACCAAGGCTGGGGACCAACAGATGGTTTAATGGTTACATCACTGGACTCCCATGTAGTTGACCGTGGTTCAAGTCTCAAACCCAACAGCTTAAAAACTCATTCCGGGAACGTGTGCGTACATGCCCAAAAATCCCAAGAGGAGAATGGAAGAGAAGGGATTACAGTGTGTCTCTGGTAAGCGCATGTACCCTACAGCAAAAATCTCTTTAAAAAAACAACCAAAGCTGAAAGGATACACACACTAAAAGCTAAGAGAAGCTAAGGATGGGGGCTGGCAGGTGGCGTGGTAGTTAGGGGTGCTGGACTCATACATTGAGTCCCAGACCTGGCTCTGTGCCTGCAAATAAAGTTAAATTCTTTTCAAAGGAAAGAGAAGCTAAGGATGTAGAAGACATCCACAAAGTGCTGAAGAACAGAGAAAGTGTGGAAAACCTACATTAAAGGGGTGGGGGCCAGGTAGGAGGAAAGGAAAGATCAGTGCCCCCTCCCAGTGGAGAGGCTAGCGCTTGGGAAATCAGTGGTAGTTAGAAGTGAGAATAGAATGAGCACACAGCCAGGCATTCTTTCATCTGACAGCTATTTAGTTGGATAAACTACACACTATTTGAGGGAAGGGAAGTGGGTCCACTGGCCCCTTTGTGAAAGAAACACAACCACAATCCAGGAATGAAAACAACTTACAGGGGCAAATACTGGTTATTCAATAATTCTATTCCCTCGGACCAGCAGTTAGCATAATGGCTATGTTGCTGGACTCCCATGTAGCCGACTGTGGTTTGAATCCCACCCGGTGGCTTAAAACTCATGCTGGGCGCGTGTGCGTGCGTGCCCAAGATCCCAAAAGGAGAGTGGAGAAGGGATTGCGGGCGTGGCCATCCCCCCTGGGGGATGATTTCTCGCTCTCTCTGTCTGTCTCTATCTGGCGAGCGCATGCGCCCTATGGCAAAAACCTCTCAAAAATAAATAAATAATTCTATTCCCTTACCAACAACTGATTCAAAAGTGTACGAGGGACATGGGTCAGCATGTGGCATGGTAGTTAAGGGCACTGGACTCCCACATGGCCCACAGTGTCTCGCTTTTCTCACTTTCCCTCTCTTTCTCTCTCTCTCTCCCTCTCGGATCAAACAATAATAAAAAAAGTAATGCTTTAAAAAAAAAAAATTACCTGTGCCAGCAGGTGGTGTGGTTGGGGCACTGGACTTCCACATGGCTGACTGACTGCAGTTCAAATCCCAGACCTGGCAGCTTGCTTTCTCACTTTCCTTTTCCCTTTCTCTCATCTCTCTCTTGTGCGCATTCATGCCCTATGGCAAATTAAAAAATAATAATAATAAATAGGGCCAGCAGGTGGTATGGTTGAGATACGAGACTCACATGGCCAACCACAGTTCAAGTCCTAGACCTGGCAGTTTGCTGTTTTGCTTTTTCTCTGTGTCTCTCTGGTCAGATTAAAAAATAAATAATAAAATTTAACATATTTTTAAAAAATTATTTCATTTAATTTTTTAAATTCATTTTAATTTGACCAGAGAGAGAGGGAAAGTGAGAAAGCAAGCCACCAGGTCCGGGACTCAAACCATGGTCGACATGTAGGTGTGTCCAGCACCTTAACCACCCCACCACCTGCTGGTCCCCAAAATTTAAAATATTTTTTAAAAGAGTACACTACCTGGGTCCAGCAAGTGGCATGGTGGTTCAGGACCAGCAGGTGGTGTGGTGGTTGGGGGCGCTGGACTCCCACATGGCCAACCATGGTTCAGCTGGACTGTGGGCCTGGTGGCTTGCCTTCTCACTTTCCCTGTCTCTCTCTGCCCATCTCTGGTCAAATTAAAATGAATGAGTAAATAGATAAAAGTTAAATAAAAGAATTCTTCAGGGACAAGCAGTTGGTGTAATGGTTATGTCACTGGACTCCCATATAGTCGACCAGTTCTAGTCCAGGACCGGGTGGCTTAAACTCACGCCAGGCATGTGTGTGTGCGTGCATGCCCAAGATCCTGAGAGGAAAATGGAAGAGAAGGGACTGTGACATGCCCATCGCCCCTGGGGGGTGATTTCTCACTTTCTGTCTCTCTGTCTTTCTGGTGAGCACACACGCCCTAGAGCAAAAACCTCTCCAAAAAAAAAATTCTTTATAAAAAATTTTGCACATCACATATTTATCCGTTTCACACTCAAGATGAAACTGCCAAGTAGCTCTTCTGCAGCTGCCTCACAGTACATACCCTTTCTCATTCAGCTCATCCCAAGACAGATTCTGACAGTGACACAGGAACTGCACAGAGCTGACATCCTACCAGGTCTTTTATACAGTTCAACATACAAGGTGACACCAAGATAAGACAAGTGACGTTCCAGTGTGGGTGCCATCTCCCTCCCCTGAATGCTGATCCAGTGACTCCTGAAGCCAAGTGTTGGTCATGGAGAAAGCTGCCGTGGAGAGCCACACTGACGGGGAAGGGGAAAGTTTCACTTCTTCACAATCTGAATGACATCCTCATCCTCCAACGTATGGTCTTTACCCACTTTCTGAGGATTGTGTTTCACAGACAGACCCCAGACCAGAGCGCTGCATGGAAGGGAAATAAAGGACAGTTAGTGTAAATAATTACCTAGCTCCTGCCATATCTGCTTCAATTTAACATCACAGCTTTTTTATTTTTTTATTTTTTATTTTTTATTTTTTTTGCTATAGGGCTTGTGCGCTCACATAGACAGAAAGCGAGAGATCACCCCCCGGGGGGAGATGGCCACACCCCAATCCCCTCTCCTCTATTCTCTTCTCAGGATCTTGGGCATGCACACACACATGCCTAGCATGAGTTTAAGACACTGAGTCCAGCACTCGAACTGCAGTTGATGACATGGGAGTCCAGCGACATAGCCATTATGCCAACTGCTGGTCTCAACATCACAGCTTTTTTTTTCTTTTGGAGAGGTTTTTGCTATGGGGCCCGTGCACTCGCCAGAAAGACAGAGAGAGACAGAAAGTGAGAAATCATCCCCCGGGGGGATGACCATGCTGCAAATCCTTCTCCTCCATTCTCCTCTTGGGATCTTGGGCATGCATGCACACATGCCCAGTGTGAGTTTAATCCACTGGGTCTGGAACTCGAGCTGCAGTCGAATACATGGGAATCCAGCGACATAGCCAATATGCCAACTGCTGGTCCCAATCACAGCTTTTAACAGCCACAAGTCAAAGACGCTTTACCAGGTCAAGAACTACACTGAAAACCCAGAAACTTTTATCTTCCATAGCAGCGTTCATCTTCCATACAAGGTGACCAAGATTTTTGGAAGTTGTTCTATGGCCATTTTTAACACAAAGACAATAAAACCATAAATGAGCACCTGATTTTTACTTGAGCTAAAAAACAAAAAAGGCCAACCAGTAGTATGGTAGTTAAGGTAGCTGGATCCCACATGGTCAACTGCATGGTTCAAGTCCCAGACCCAGTATCATGACATGCCAGGCACATGTGCGTATCTGCCCAAAATCCCAAGAGGAGAATGGAAGAGAAAGGACTGTGCATGGCCACACTGCCAGGGATGGGAGGGATGATTTCTAACTCTCCCTCCACCCTGGTGAGCACATGTGCCCAGTAGCAAAAAATAAAAATAAAAAAAGAATAAATAAATAATTACATAATAAGGGAATCAGTAACAGCTCTTAACTCACAATAGACTTAAAATTCAAATTAAAAAAAGTAAAATGAGGGACCAGCAGGTGACGTGGTGGTTAAGGTGCTGGACACTCCCACATGGCTGACCACAGTTCGAGTCCTGGACCTGGTGGCTTGCTTTCTCACTTTCTTTCTTTCTCTGTCTCTCTCTCTGGTCAAATTAAGATGAATGAGTGAATAAATAAAATTAAACATAAAAAAAAAGTAAAATGAAAGCAGAAATATTGGGGCCAGCAGGTGTGGTGATTAAGGCATTGGACTCCCACATGGTCAACTGCAGTTCGAATACTGGACTAGGCGTGCAAAATTTTAAAAAAACAGTAGTAACTGAGGCCAGCAGGCAAGCATGGTGGTTAAAGGCACTGGACTCCCATATGGCCAACTGAGGTCTGAGTCTAGGACCTGGAGGCTTGCTTTCTCATCCCTCCTCCCCTCGTTCTGTCCCTCTCTGGTCAAATAAATGAATAAATGCATAAAAATAAGTAAAGTAAAATAATTCTTTTTAAAAAATTAATAATTGGAGCCAGTAGGTGGCTTGGTGGTTGAGGCCTAGATTTCCGCATGGCTGACCATGTTTCAAGTCCTGGAACTGGCAGGTCCAAAATCACAACAAATAGATAAATAGATGTTAAAATAAGTACATTTTAATAATAATAAAGTTAAATAAACAATTCTTTTTTTTTTTGAGAAGTTTTTGTATAGGGCACGTGAACTCACTAGAAAGAGAAAGAGAGACAAAAAGCAAGAAATCATCCCCCCGGGGGGATAGCCAACCCGCAATCCCTTCTCCTTCATTCTCCTCTCAGGATCTTGGGCACGCATGCACATGCGCCTAGCATGAGTTTAAGCCACTCGGTCTGGGACTGGTACCATAGTCGACTACATGGGAGTTCAGCGATATAGGCATTACGCTAACGGCTTGTCTCAGTAAATAATTCTTTTAAGAAAAATGAAACCAGGAAAATCAGTGGATAGCACAGCGGTTAAGTTTCTGGACTCCCCCATGGTCAACAGCAGTTCAAGTCCCAGACCCAGTGGCTTGAAAATCACTCTGGGTATGTGTGCATGTATATTCAAGATCCCAGGAGGAAAATGGAAGAGATGGGAATGCAAAGTGACCATCCCCTCCGTGGGGTTGATTTCACTTTCCCTCTCACTGTCTAGGTCTCTGTCTCTGCCCCTGACAAAGCAAAAACCTCTTAAAAAAAAAATGGGGAACCGGCAGTTAGCGTAATGGCTATGTCGCTGGACTCCCACATAGTCGACCGCGGTTCACGTCCCAGACCCGGTGGCTTAAAACTCACACCGGGCGCGTGTGCGTACGTGCCCAAGATCCCAAGAGGAGAATGGAAGAAAAGGGATTGCGGCGTGACCATACCCCCTGGGAGGTGATATCTCGCTTTCTGTCTCTATGTCTCTGTCTGTCTGGTAAGCGCACGCACCCTATAGTGAAAAAACTCTCCAAAAAAAAAAAAAAAAAATGGAACCAGGAAATAAAGACTCACTAGGCAAACATCACAATAAATGAACTTTCTGAACATACCTGGTACTATGTAATGTGAACTGACATTAAGGAAGCGGGATGAAGGAAAAAAGGAAAGTTTTCATACTAAAAAGAAAAGTTTTTTACAACTCTTCTATAAGCCCACAATTAGTTCAAAACAAAAAGTTTGGGACCAGCAGGTGGCATGGTGGTTAAAGCGCTGGACACTCCCACATGGCTGACCACGGTTCAAGTCTCGGACCTGGTGGCTTGCTTTCTCACTTTTCCCTCTCTCTCTCTCTGTCTTTCTCTGATCAAATTAACATAAAATGAATGAATAAATAAAGTTAAATAAGAATTATTTATTATTATTTATTATTTATTCTTTAAAAAATTGAAATTAAAAAAAAAGTTTAAATTTCTTTCATGAATCCAGCACATGATGTAATGGTTACGTTGCTGGACTCCCACGTATTCAACCACATGGGAGTCCAGCAGCAACATAGCCATTACACCAATTGCTGGTCCCATTTGTTTGTTTCAAGAACCATTCTATTTTACTATATTTTGACCAGACAGAGACAGACGGAAAGAAAGAGAGCGAGCAAGCCACCAGGTCCAGGACTTGAACCACAGGTCAGTCATGAGGAAGTCCAGTGCCTGCAACCACTATGCCACCTGCCAGCCCCATAGGCATGATTTTAAGGAGACACTGCAGAGTTCTAACCAAGCAAGCATTTTCACAACCTCCCTATTGGCTCCTTTAATGCTATCCTAAGAACAGCTAGTTAGTGAAATGAGTAGCTCATAGGGAAAAGGAGATAACACATACCCAGGATACTTACTATTTAAATTCTTTGATAAGATTTTTGTGAATCTTCATGCAAAAGTCCTCCACTGTGGTCCTGGAGTAAGGTAGCACCACCGGGGATGTGTAATCTGGTAACTGGCCTTTAGGTTTAGTGTAACTGAAATGGAGAGGGCACAGAGGTTGCCACTGTTCTTAGAATGTTTCAGGTGTTACATGCAAACCAACCCTCCCTCACCCAAAATCAAACCAGAATAATCTCCAACCAGGGGAAGAAAAGTGCCTTCAACATGGCCTAATGGATGATAAGAACCAATTTATTTGTATCTCCAAAAAGAGTTAGTTTCCTTTTTGGGGGAGAGGTGTTTGCCTACAGGGCATGTGCACTCGCCAGAAAGACAGAGACCAGACAGAAAGCGAGAAATCATGATGGCCATGCCACAGTCCCTTGTCGTCCGTTCTCCTCTGGAGATCTTGGGCACACACACACACACACATGCGCCCGGCATGAGTTTAAGCCACCGGGTCCAGGACTCGAACCAGGGTCGACTACATGGGAGTCCAGTGACATAGCCATTATGCCAAGAGTCAGTTTCATAATGAGCTCCACAAGTATCCTTTTCACATAGTCAGGTTTAAGTCTTACAGCAATATTGCCCAATCTACTCTGACTTACATCCTCACTAGTTTCAGATAGTCCCAGATCTTTTCCAATAGGTCATCAAAATTCCAACGGTGATGGGCAGAGATGGGTACACAGTGAGGCACCTTATAGATGATATCCAATTCCTCAATGGAGATCTGGTCGATTTTATTTAACACATAGATACAAGGGATATAAACTCTGTAAGATTAAAAGAAAAACATGGTATTAGGCTAGAACTGACAACAAGACTAGCAAGTGATTATCAACACCCCCTTATCCAGACACTCAAACCAGGGGCTCTCATAAGAGGTCCTAAGAGGGGAGCTGGCAGGTAGCGTCACTGTTAAGGGTGCTGGATTCTCATATGGCTGACCATGGTTCAAGTCCCGGACCTGGATGCTTGATTTCTCACTTTCTCTCTCTCTTTCACTCTCTTACTCTCTCATTCTGTCGTTCTCTAATCAAATTTTAAAAAATAAAGTTAAGGGAGCCAGCAGATAGCGTAATGGCTATGTTGCTGGACTCCCACGTAGTCAACCGCAGTTCGCGTCCCAGACTCAGTGACTTAAAATTCACGCCAGGTGCGTGTGCGTGCGTACGTGCCCAAGATCCCGAGAGGAGAATGGAGGAGAAGGGATTGCGGCATGACCATCCCCTCTGGGGGGCGATTTCTCGCTTTCTGTCTCTATGTCTCTCTCTCACGCACCCTATAGCGAAAAAAAACTCTCAAAAAAATAAATAAATAAATAATAAATAAATAAAGTTAAAATAATTATTTTTAAAAATAAAAGATCATTAAGAGGTAAATCAGCGAAAAAAAAAAAATAAGAGTCAAAAAGTGAACTATGCGGGGTCAACAGGTGGTACAGTGGTTGAGGGGCTGGCCTCCCACATGGCCAACCATGGTTCAAGTCCTGGACCCAGCAGCTTGCTTTCTCTACTTTTCCTTTTCTTTCTCTGTCTCTCTCTCTGGTCAAATTAAAAAATAATAATGATGATGATAATAACAAATAAAATTAAATAAATAGTTCTTTAAAAAAAAATTAGAAAAAAGAAGTAAACTATGGATAACAAAACTCAAGCCATATTCCCAGACGTAGGTAACTACTGGAAGTATATTCTGTAATGAAAAGAACTCAAGCAGGACCAGCATATGGCAAAATGGTTACATTGCTGGACTCTGAAATGACTAAATGTGGTTTGAGTTCTAGACCCGGAGGCCTGAAACTCATGCCAGCGTGTATGCGTGCATGCCCAAAATTCCAAGAGGAAAATGGAGAAGGAATTGCCACATAGTCTTACCCCCTGGGGTGTGATTTCTTGCTTTCTGTTTGGCTCTCCAGTAAGTGCACGCACCCTATAGCAAAAATCTCTTTTATTTATTATTTTAAGAGAGGTTTTTGTTATGGGTGCATGCACTCACCAGAGACAAAAAGTAAGAAGTCACCTCGCAGTGGGGATGGCCACACAATCCCTCTTCCTCCATTCTCCTCTCAGGAGTTTGGGCACGCATGCATATGCACCCAGCATGAGTGTTAAGCTGCCAGGTTCAAGACTCCAACTGTAGTCAACTACATGAGAGTCCTGCGACATAACCATTATGCCATCTGCTGGTCCCTACAAAAATCTCTCTAAAAAAAAAAAAAAAATTGCCCGTAGCAAAATAAAAATAAATAAAATTACATTAATAATTTTAAAGTTATTTGTTTTAATCTTATTTTATTACACACACACACACACACACACACACACACACACAGAAATTGAGAGCATGTAGCCAGATCCAGGACTTGAACTGTGCTCAGCCATGTGGGAATCCAGCACATTAACCACTGTGCCACCTGCTGGCCCCTACAAGAATAATTCTAAAAAAAAGCTATTGTCTCCAATTATTATATGACAGAGCTTAGAGAACAGATGCATTCACAGCAAACAACTGAAATAGGGAACCTGATTGTCATAATCAAATTTCACAGCAAATTTGGATGCTAGAAATCAAGACAAACCCCACATTTTACAGCTAAAGAACCAAGACCCAATATGATTTGAGATACTAACTGGAGTTAGAATCAAAGTCTGCCAGACTTAGGACCCAATGTTTATTTTTTTTAAAGACTTATTCTAGGGGCCAGCAGGTGGCATGGTGGTTAAGGGCGCTGGACTCCCACATGGCTGTTCGTGGTTCAAGTCCTGGATCTGGCAGCTTGCCTTCTCACTTTCTCGCTCTTTCTCTCTGGCTCTGTCACTCTCTTGTCAAATTAAAATAAATAAAATGAGGGGCTGTCAGGTGGCGTGGTGGTTAAGGTGCTAGACTCCCATATGGCTGACTGTGGTTCGAGTCCTGGACCCAGCAGCTTGCTTTTCACTCTCTCTCTCTCTGGTCAAATTAAAATAAATAAATAATGAAAATAAAATAGTTAAAATAATTCTTTAAATAAATAAATAAATAAAGTTAAATAAAATAATCCTTTAAAAAAAAGAGAAAGAATTATTCTATTTAAATTAAATAAATAAATTTATCTATCTATTTATTTAAATTTAGCCAGAGGGACAGAAAGAGAGAGAGAGAAAAAGTGAGAAAGTAAACCGTGGTTGGCCATGTGAAAGTCCAGTGCCCTTAACCACCACACCACCTGCTGGCCCCTCCAACGATGTTTTCATGGTAATGCGCCAAATTCAAAATCAGGCACTGGACTGTACATAGAATCGGTACCTGTTTCCTTCTACCACGTCAATGAGGTCGTCAGCAGTGGCATCGCTACGCAGAGTCACATCAGCATTATGAATTTTGTATTCAGCCAGAATGCTTTTCACAGTTTCAGCATCCAGTTCACTTTGAGGGCACTGAATGGGCAGAGAAGATAAAGATCAGTCAGAGAGAAGGAAAAAAAAAATTCCCCTAAGAGAACTTAGCCATGTACAGGATAATTCTAGCAGGTACGAACTCATTACTAAAACTATTACCCAGGATGAGAGTAAATAACTTTTAGTAAGAAATAATTAAAAACTAAAAATCTTTTCTTTTTCTTTTAAGTTTTTTTTTGCCTTAGGGTACATGCACTTGCCAGAGAGACAGAGAGCCAGAGAGCCAGGGACAAAGAGAGGGAAAGTGAGAAATCACCTCTCAGAGGGGATGGCCACACTACAGTCCATTCTCCTCCATTCAACTCCCAGGATCTTGGGCACACATGCACATGCACCTGGCCTGAGTTTCAAGCCACCGGGTCTAGGACTTGAACCACGGTCAGCCATGTAGGAGTTCAGCAGTGTAACTGCTACACAATCTGTTGGGGCACTCTCGTTTTTTAAAGAAATTTTTTGCTATAGGGTGCATGCACTTGCCAAAAAAAAAGGAAGAAAGCTACCAGGTCCAGGACACAAGCTGCAGTCATCCATGTGGGAGTCCAGTGTACTTAACAACCACACCACTGGGACCAGCAGTTAGCGTAATGGCTATGTCGCTGGACTCCCATGTAGTCGACCACGGTTCGCGTTCCGGACCCGGTGGTTTAAAACTCATGCCAGGCATGTGTGCGTGCATGCCCAGGATCCTGAGAGGAGAACAGAGGAGAAGGGACTGTGGCGTGGCCATCCCCCCTGGGGGGTGATTTCTCGCTTTCTGTCTCTCTGTCTGGCGAGCGCACACGCCCTATAGCAAAAACCTCTCAAAAAAAAAAAACAACCACGCCACCTGTCGGACCCTACAGAAAAATTCTTGATCAAGCTCAAATACACACAGGATAATTGGAAACATTTTTTTCAGTAGAGTGGACTTAAGTCAGTCAAATTATCTGAATCCTAAAATGCAAAATTTAGTCCTCAATTTTGTTATCTAAAAGCAGCATCTTCCAGAACTGATCACTCCTACTATGGGCAATACTTTCTCTGGCTGACTTCCAAGACTCTAAACTTTTCCTTCTCCCACTTTGTTCATTCTTCTAGCTCAGGACAAAAACTCATAGTCTTCCCTGACTCTCTTTCTCTCACAACTCACATTTAATCCAGCTATAATTCCTATCAAACTCTTACTACTTCATAGTCTACTTCTCATCTCCTCCACTGTTATCGCCCTCATCTAAAAAGCTGTCATTTCTTGAATAGATTGTTGAGATAACCTCTTAAATGATTTCTCTACTTCTCTCTGAATCTAGGACTTCACCTCTTACTACTCACTACTCCACTTGCTTCTCAAATATGCAAAAGCAAGCTCCACTTCAAGGCCTTTGCATTTAAATGTTCCTTCCACATATAATGCTCTTCCTCAAGAAATCCATTGTTTTACACCTTACGTCACCTCAGACTTCTCTAACCAATGTAGTAAGAAAGTGGTGTGTCTGAGGCAATGAAATCCACAGAGCCAAACTTGAATTCTACAGTTCAAGTCCCAGTTACGACACCTAATGAACCAGGCTACGCACATGTGCGTGCATGCACAAAAATCTTAAGGGGAGAACAGAGAAGGGATGGTGGTTTGGCCATCATCTGGGGACTGATTTCTCACTTTATCTTCTCTCTGGTAAGTGTACATGCTCTATGGCAAAATATATATTTTTTTTTCTTTTTTTGGAGAGGTTTTTGCTATAGGGCACGTGCACTCGCCAGACAGAGAGAGACAGAGAGACAGAAAGCGAGAAATCACCCCCAGGGGGGATGGACACGCCGCAATTCCTTCTCCTCCATTCTCCTCTCAGGATCTTGGGCATGCACGCACACGCGCCTGGCGTGAGTTTAAGCCACCGGGTCCGGGACTTAAAAAACCACGGTCGACTGCATGGGAGTCCAGCGACATAGCCATTATGCTAACTGCTGGTCTCGCAAAAAATATTCTTTTTTAAAAATTACTCTATTTAACTTTATTTATTTATTTTAAAATTTGACCAGAATGGGATAGAGTGAGAGAAAGAGAAAGTCAGAAAGCTAGCCACCAGGTCCAGGACTTGAACCACAGTAAGCCATGTGGGAGTCCAGTACCCTTAACCACCACAACACATGTCAGCCTAGCAAAAAAAATCTAAAAAAAAAAAGTCATTTTTTGTTAGTCATTACAAAGTCATTGTATGATCTGTTAGTTAGGGAAAAGCTCAGAAATTTCCAAATGTCAGTGTCAGTGAACTGCAATACCCACCAGTTCCCACAGCAGCATGCCCCATGTCACATTCCCACTTACAGTGGCGGTCAGATTAATGCCTCCTTTGTCCTTCTTCTTAAAGCCAATGTTGGGGGGTTTGCTGTTCAAGCGAATGCCAAACCCTTCAAGCTCATTTTCAATTATCTTCTTATGTCCCAAGGGTTTCAGGACATCCAGAACAATTAGGATCAAGTTACAAGTTCGAGCCACTGAAGAATCGAAAAATAAAACTTTTTACTCACAAAATTCAATAAAGCCTTAGCAAACCCAATACTCAATTGAGGTTTTCTTTTCTTACACTTAAGAAATAAACTTGTGTGTGTGTGTGTAAATACCTACATGAAGTTCTTTTTTTTTTTGAGAGGTTTTCGCTATAGGGCGCGTGCGCTCGCCAGACAGACAGAGAGAGACATAGAGACAGAAAGCGAGAAATCACCCCCCAGAGGGGATGGTCATGCCGCAATCCCTTCTCCTCCATTCTCCTCTCGGGATCTTGGGCATGCACGCACACGCACCCGGCGTGAGTTTTAAGCCACCGGGTCTGGGACACGAACCGCAGTCGACTACGTGGGAGTCCAGCGACATAGTCATTACGCTAACTGCTGGTTCCCAATACCTACATGAAGTTCTTAATGTTACCAAAGATTTATATTAGAATTTAATTTGCAACATGTACGTTGAAGTCAGTACATATTCATGCATTTTCTAGATGTACTAGTTGGAAACCAGTTAGAAAGAACAGCTTAAAAGGATTTAAAGTATGAAGAACTAGGGCCACCCTGTGGCTTAGTGGTTAAGGCAGCTGGATCTTACAGTTAACTGCAAGAACCAGGCAGCCTTAATTTCTCACTTTCTGTCTCTGTCTTTCTGGTGAGCGCATACGCCCTATAAAAAAAAACTCTAAAACTAAAAAAAAAAAAAAAAAAAAAAACCTCTCAAAAAAAAAAAGACAAGGCAGCTTGAGAAACACGTTGGATCTGCGTGCATTCACACCCAAAATCTCTAAAGGAGAGAAAAATGGAGAAGTTATTGCGGTATGACCATGTCCCACAGGAGGAGCTTTTTCTCCCTCTCTCTCCCTCTGTAAGCATACATATCCTCTGTCAAATTAAAAAAGAAAAATGGGATAAACTCTAAAATTAAGGTTAACTTTAGAGTCAGTCAAACTTATTGCCATACAGTTTACAGAAAATGAGTTGTCTCAGGACCAGCAATTAGCGTAATGGCTATGTCCCTGGACTCCCATGTAGTCGACCATGGTTCGAGTCCCGGACCCGGCGGCTTAAACTCACACTGGGTGCATGTGCATGCATGCCCAAGATCCTGAGAGGAGAATGAAGGAGAAGGGATTGGGCCATCCCCCCTGGGGGGTGATTTCTCGCTTTCTGTCTCTATGTCTCTCTCTGTCTGTCTGGCGAGCGCACGCGCCGTACAGTGAAAATCTCTCCAAAAAAAAAAAAAAAAAAAAAAAAGATATGTTTAAGGGCCGGCAGGTGGCATGGTGTTTAAGGGCTCTAGATTCCTACATGGCCAACCACAGTTGGAATCCCAGACCTGGCAACTTGCTTTCTCACTTTGTCTCTCTCTCTCACGCTCCCCCGACCCTCACACACACACACACACACACACACACACACACACACACACACACACACATACACTCTCTCTCTCACTGTTCATATTAAGATAAATACAGATAAATAAAATAATTACTTTAAATGAAATAATTATTTTGGGTCCGGCAGATGGTGTGGTGGTTAAGGACACTAGACTCCTGCAAAGCCAACCACGGTTCCAGTCCCAGATCTGGCAGCTTGCTTTCTCTCTCTCTGTCCCTCTCTGGTCAAAGTGAAATAAGTAAGTAAATAAAATGAAAATAATTCTTAAAAAATAATTATTTTATTTATCATTATTAATATTTAATTTGCTACAGGGTACATGCACTCACCAGAGAGAGAGAGAAAATGAGAAAGCAAGCCATCATGACCAGGACTTGAACTAGTCAGCCATGTGGGAGGCCAGTGCTTTAATGACCAGGCTACCTGCTGGCCGCCTTTTAAGCCCTATTTTAATAGATTTTTCCTCTGTTTCCAGCCAATGACTAACCTGCTTCCTCTAATTATATGTAGTTAGCACTCTAGAATTTTATATAAATGGAATCATACAAAAAGTTGTCTTTTGTGCTGGGATCATTTTTTTTCTTAGGAAAAAAAATTTTTTAGAGAGGAATTTTTGCTATAAGGTAAATGTACTTACTGGAGAAACAAGAGACAGAGAGACAGAAAACAAGAAATCACCGTCCTGGGGTATGGCCATGCCACAATCTCTTCTCTATTCTCCTCTCAGGATCTTAGGCACACACGCACACATGCCCAATGTGAGTTTTAAACTGCCCAGGGTCTGGGATTGGAACCGCAATTGACTATGTGGGAGTCCAGTGACATAACCACTACAGCATATGCTGGTTCCACTATGCTGGAATCTTTAAATTTGGAATAATTTTGTTTTGTTTTTAAAGACAGAACTACAAAATCACACAGCAATTTATTTAAGTTAATGTATATCGCAAGGAAAACAAACAAGCATGCCTCCCCCAAAGTTCTGACACCACAACCCCATCCTCAGCATTCAGACAGTCCGTGATCACAGGCACAGCAGTCAGGGTGGTCTTCAGACTTGAACTATCAAGAGTAAGTATTCCATGCGGGAGCAAATCATCACCTTTCACTGCTGTTCTACCATCTGACCCCCCGACAGCTTAATTTTTTCTGGTTTATTGTTTTTTTGTGGAAGGCATAGGACTCATGCATTAAAAATCATAATATTAACTTTGAGAAAATTCCAAGGGGTGGTATGGCGTATAAGAGACCTAGGTCTCTAACACAGCATTAATCCAATAGATAACGGTCATCATGAAGTAGCAATAAAAACATTTTTTTCCAAGAGATTTTTGCTATAGTGCGTATGTACTTGCCAAAGAGATGGAGAGAGACAGAGACAGAAAGTAAGAAATCACCCCCAGGGAGGATGACCATGCCGCATTCCCTCCTCCTCCACTCTCCTCTCTCAATCTTCGGCATGCATGTGAGTTTAAGCTGCCCGATCTGGGGCTCAAACCAAGGTTGACTACATGGGAGTCCAGCAATGAAACCATTACACCATCTACTGGTCCCAATGAAAGCATAATTTTTAAAAATATGTAACACAGGAGCCAGCAAGAGCATGGTGGCTAAGGGCACTAGACTCCCACATTGACGACTGCTGGTTGGGGGGTTGCTTTCTCACATCTCTACCCTACCACTCCCCATCTTTCTCCAGTGAGCACTTGCACCCTCCGGCAAAAAAAAAAAAAAAAAAAAAAGGAAAAGGAACATGGGCCAGCCAGGTGGCGTGGTGGTTAGGGTGACCAGCTCTCACATGGCCAAGTATGCATTCTAGTCCTGGACCCAGTGGCTTGTAAAACACACTAGACACATGTGGATGTGTGCCAAAGATTCTGAGAGGAGAATGGAAAAGGGATTATAGCATGGCCATCCCTCCTAGGGAGTGATTCTCATTTCCAGTCCTCCCTCCTTAAGGGAACACACCCTACAGCTAAAATAAAAAAAGTAAATAAAATTGGGGCTGGCAAGTGGAGTGGTGGCTAAGGGCGCTGGAGTCTCACATGGCTGACCACAGTTCACCCAGACCTGGTGGCTTGCTTTCTCACTTTCCCTCTCTCTCACTCTGTCACTCATTGGTAAAATGAAAAAATATAAATAAATAAAGTTAAATAAAACAATTCTTTAAAAAAAAAAAAAAAAAAGTAAATAAAATGTGGGGACCAGCAGGTGGCATGGTGGTTAAGGCGTTGGACACCCCAACGTGGAGGACCACAGTTTAAGTCCTGAAGCTGGTGGCTTGCCTTCTCACTCTCTCTATCTGCCTCTCTCTGGTCAAATTTAAATAAATGAATGAATAAATTAAATAATTCCCTAAAAAAAGTAAATAAAATGTAACAAAAGAAACAACGGAATAGTTGACAATAGTTGCCAATAGGAAGAGAAAGTAAAGATAAGGAGAGGGGAGCAGATTATTGCAACCTATGTTAGTCCTGTACAGTATTTTATTTATAGAGACTTTTGCTATAGTGCACATGCCTCGTCAGACAGACAGAGGCAGAAAGCAAGAAATCAGCCCCCACAGACGGGTGGCCACACCACAAGCCCTTCTCCTTCCTTCTCTTCTTGGGATTTGGAACACACACACACGCACATGCACCCAGCGTGACTTTCAAGCCACCGGGTCCAGGACTAAAACTGCAGTCAACCATTTGGGAGTCCAGCTCCTTAACCACCTGCTGGCCCTTAATATTTTATTTTTGAGAAAAGAAGAAAAAGCATGACTTGAAAGTCAGAAAACCCGAATCCTAGTTCTGAATCTGCCATCAATAATGTGACACTAGACCAAAGAACTTCATTTTTCCTTTCTTCACTGTTTTTATTCTAATGTGCCTCTAGACTATTACTGTCTGAAATCTCAAGTTTTGATATTTCACCCATGTAAGAAGTCAGGTGAAATTATGTTCTTCACCATGGTATAATCTCAAAGTCCAACAATCCCTGGCAAAACAAACAGCAGCAGTAAGGGGATGGCATGCCACAATAGTGGCCATGAACCACTCACCTGCAATGACTTGACGGCCTCTACCTTTTCCATCCTTGGCACCTTCAATAATACCTGGGAGATCCAGGAGCTGCAAGATGAACAATGGAGGTGTGGGAAGGAGGGGCAGGAAGGAGAGAAAAGGAAAAAAAAAAAAACAGTTATAAATCTAAACAGAGAAAAATGGAATGATTTATTGCTCAAATATCAAAAATTTATGAGACCCGGGACCAGCAGGTTCTGTCGTGGTTGAGGACACTGGACTCCCATATAGCCGACTGTGGTTCAAGTCCCAGACCAGGTGGCTTGCTTCCTTATTTTCCTTCTCTCTCTTTCTCTCACTCTCTCACTCTGTCCCTCACTAGTCAAATTAAAATAAAGTTAAATATAAAAAAAAATTATGAGACCCAAATCCAATTTTCCTTATAAGTGAATGTATGAATGTCACTTTTACTAAGAATCTACTAAATATTAGCTATAGGCTTTTTATTTATTTTACTGAGTTTAAAATACCTAAAAATTCTGTGAAATAAGCAGAAGCTGGTAAATCTTGAGTGAGTTCAAGTCACAGATGTAATAAATAATTTTCTTTTTACCAAAATCCATTATTCTACATTAATATATTAATACTTCAATATTCCTCCACTTTGCTGAAGGTTGAGCCTCCATACAAATTCCTTACTACAGATAGTAACAGGCTCTTAATAGTTACATGTGATACGTATTGACACTTTTGCAAATTCCCAACAAAAATTTCTGTAATCAACGAGGTGAACACATCAAAATCACCTGGAAAACCTTTATAAAATGGGAGCCAGCAGGTGATATGGTGGTTAAAGCACTGGATCCTATGTGCCAGACACTGTGGTTTGAGTCCCTAACTTGGTGGCTTAAAAAACATGCCAGAGGGGACCAGCAGTTAATGGCTATGTAGCCAATCGTGGTTCGAGTCCCGGACCGGGGGACTTAAACTCACGTCAGGTGCTTGTGTGTGCGTGCCTAGGATCCCGAGAAGAGAATGGAGAAGGGATTGCGGCGTGGCCATCCCCCCTGGGGGGTGATTTCTCGCTTTCTATCTCTCTCTCTCTCTGTCTCTCTGGAGAGCACATCCACCCTATAGCAAAAACCTCTCGGAAAAAAATTAAATTTAAAATGTAGTCCCTTTCTTTTCTGCATTTTCACAGGCACTTTCCCCACTGTATTATTGTATTAATGCATGGCTCTATCTCCTCTGCTATATAGTAAGGGTCTGGATAGCTGGCCTGCAAGACAGAGTTCCCAATAAAATATTTCGTAAATGAACAAATGAATAAATGTCTTTCTTTCCTTGGCCTACAGTCCTAACTCACCTGGATCTTGGCACCTTTGTATCTGATGACACCAGGCACAGTGGTCAGAGTAGTGAACTCATAGGCTGCCACCTCGGAATACACCCCCGCCAGGTTACTGAGCAGTGTAGACTTTCCCACAGAAGGAAAACCTACAAATCCAATTCGAGCATCACCTGTCTTCGCCACATCAAAACCTAAAATAACAACAGATATTAAAAAGAGGAGTTATCCCTATGGATGTTAAGACTCCTAAAATTCTTTTCATATTTCTGCTGCCCATCCTTCTAGGCCCTATTTCTAGAAATTTTTTTTACAGTTTACCTCTAAAGTAGAACTGAAGCACAAAAACCCCCCACAGCAATTCATAACATTCAATGCAGTGTTTGATATAAAAGCTGTATTCTCCACCTCTTCAACTGTTACATGTTTCTAGCACCTATTTAAGGCCTAAATAGAATAGATTTTTCTTTAGAGTTTTTTTGCTATAGGGCAACTACAGTCACCAAAGAGACAGAGAGCAAGAAAGCAAGAAATCACCCCCAAGGGGGGATGGCTTCGCCGCAATCTCTTCTCCACTCTCCTCTCAAGATTTTGGACATGCATATATACATGCCCAGTGTGAGTTTCAAGCCACTAGGTCCCAGACCTTAATGACAGTCAATCATGTGGGAGTCCAGCAACTTAACCATTATACCATTTGCTGGTCTCAATATAATAGGAAGCTGGGGCCAGTAGGCGGCATGGTGGTTGAGGTGTTGAACTCCCACATGGCCAACTGCAGTCTGAGTCCCAAACCTGGAGGCTTGCTTTCTCTTTCTCCGTGTGTGTGTGTGTGTGTGTGTGTGTGTGTCTGGTAAGTGCACATGCCCTGCAACAAATTGAAAAATAATAATGATAAATAAAATTAAATAAATAATTACTTTAAAAAAATAGATAAATACATTTAAAAAAAATAGGAAGTTTTTGGCATCAGCAGGTAGTGAAGGTGCTAGACTCCCACATGATCAACAGTGGTTTAAGCATGCTAGAAATGCATGCTGGCCACAAGTGTGTATATGCCCAAAATCCCTAGAGAAGAGGTTTTGATGTGGCCAAACCTCTTGGGGGTTGATTTCTCACCATTTCTCTCTGGCAAGCGTATGCAACCTATAGCAAAATCTCTAAAATAAATAAATGAAAACAGGAAGTTTTTTTTATCTAACAAACCCTGAGTTTTCTTTTTTATGACAAATTCATAATCAAATTTCTAGCCCTTTTCAAGCAAATGTACAGCTCTTATACCATTTCTTCGGGTCCTATCCTTATCTCTTGAATTCATTATTACCATATTCATTTTCCTTTTGCTTCAATTTCCCTATTTATTTTTAGTCTGGTTGAGTATACAGATTTACACGTTTCTGTGAACCAATGTAAATCTACTTGGGATCAGTTTAGATATAAATAAATTAAATTGGGGGCCAGCAGGTGGCGTGGTAAAGGTGCTGGACTTCCACATGGGCGACCATGGTTTGAGTCCCTGACCTGGCAGCTTACTTTCTCTCTTTCTCTCTCTCTACCCCCCATCTCTGGTCAAATTAAAATAAGTAAATAAAGTTTAATAAAATACTTCCTTAAAAATAAATAAATAAAAGTAGTTTGCTTAGACAATTTTCATTTGCTTCTGGAACTAGTAGGAAAAAAATAAACATGATTCAAGAATGAGGCTTACAAAATATAAATCAAACTTGATAAACATTTAAAAATTTTTTTAAACTTTATGCATATATTGACAGAGATTTTATATATATATGTATACACACACACACACATACATATATATGAATGAAAAATACCTTCTCCTGGTCCACCACCACCACCACCTTTAGGAGTTATGAGTTCTCGACGAAGTTTAGCAAGGCGTGCCTTAAGAAGCCCTAGATGGTGTGCTGTGGCCTTGTTCTTTTGAGTCCGAGCCATCTATAAAGGAGGAATCACAGCCATATATCAGAAGTAGTTGCAGGCAAGCAGGTGGCATGGTGGTTAATGTGCTAGACTCCCACATGGCCAACTGCAGTTCAAATCCTGGGCCTGGTGGCTTGCTTTCTCACTTTCTCGCTGAGTGCATGTGCCCTAAAGCAAGTTTAATAATACTAACAATACAAATAAAATTACATAATTCTTTAGATAGGGGCTGGCAGGCGGGGTGGTGGTTAAGGGTAGCTGGACTTCCACATGGCAGATCTCAGTACAAGTCCCAGACCTGGTGGCTTGCTTTCTCACTTTCTCTCTCACTGTTTCCTCTCTTGTCAAATTTAAAATAAATAAAGTTAAATAAAATAATTCTTTATGTAAAAAAATTCCTTAGGTTAAAAAAAAGTAGTAGTTTGTATAGGGTAAAACACCCAGAATGAATATTTCCTTGGCTCTGGGACAATGACAGTTTATTTTCAGGCCCTACTAAAGTCAGTATACCCATTTTATCCTTACAAAATAAAAATCCAGATCAGTTGGTGGTATGGAGGTTAAAGCGGCTGGATCCTAAACGGCCAAATTCATAATTCAAGTCCTGGACCCAGTGACTTGGAAACATCCTGGGCACATGTGCATGCATGCCCAAAATCCCCAGAGGAGAGGAGAGTAGAAGTGAAGGAACTGCAGCATGGACGTCCTCCCTGGGCGGTGACTTCTCACTTTCCCTCTCTTTTCAGCGAGTGTAAAGGTTGAGGTGGCTGGATCCCACTGGGCTGACCATGCTATTCAAGTCCTCCAGTCTCTGACTGGACAGCTTGAGAAACACACTGGGCAAGTACGTGTGTGTGTCCCAAATCCTGAGAGAACAGATAAGGTATTGTAGAGTGGCCATCCCCCTGAGGGATGCTTTCTCTGTCTCTCTGTGTGAGTGATTGCACTCCATAGCAAATTCAAAAAAAAAAAAAAAAAAGTAGAAATCTATTCCCTCCATCATCCAGCTCATTGCCCTAATTAAGGAGCAAATAAGGTACAAAGAGAAGAGACAAGATCAAGATCATTCCAACCTAGTCCAGAAGCTAGACTAAAACCCACCTACTCATTCTATCATTATTTATTTTAATTTTTTTTTTTTTTTTGCAAAAGATTTTTGTCGGAAACCAGCAGTTAGCGTAATGGCTATGTCACTGGACTCCCACATAGTCTACCACGGTTTGCATCCCGGACCTGGTGGCTTAAAACTCACGCCGGGCACGCATTATGTGCCCAAGATCCCGAGAGGAGAATGGAGAAGAGATTTGCAGCGTGACCATCTCCCCTGGGGGGTGATTTCTCGCTTTCTGTCTCTCCATCTCTCTCTGTCTGTCTGGCGAGCGCACGCGCCCTATAGCGAAAACCTCTCCAAAAAAAAAAGATAGGGACTAGGGGGACCAGCAGTTAGCGTAATGGCTATGTCGCTGGACTCCCATGCACTCCACCGCGGTTCGCATCCCGGACCCGGTGGCTTAAAACTCACGCCAGGCGCATGTGCGTGTGTGCCCAAGATCCTGAGAGGAGAACAGAGAAGGGATTGAGACGTGGCCATCCCCCCTGGGGGGTGATTTCTCGCTTTCTGTCTCTCTGTCTCTGTCTGTCTGGGGAGCGTATGCGCCCTATAAGAAAAAAAGAAAAAAGATAGGGACTAGGTAAAGGAGAAGGGAATTAGAACGACTGATAATGAGGAAAGATCCTTAAATATGTAGCCCTTTAAAGTAAGGGCTGGAACAAACAACAGGATTCAGTGTTTCTTTCTTTAAAAAAAAAAAAAAACACGCCAAAAAAGAAAAACAAACAAACAAACAAAAAACGTCAGAACAGGGAATACGGACTAAGGGCCTGAGGTGCAAAGGTGCAGAACGTGAGCCTGGGAAGAGGCGTCCAGGAACCAAGGCTCAAATGGAGGGACAAGGGGATCCGAACAGAGCGGAGTCGAAGAACGCGGGCCCGGGCGGAGGAGAGTTAAGGAGCGCCAGCTTAAAGTAAGTGGAGTCGGGAACGCGAGCCTGGGAAAGGACAGAAGGAAACAGGTGCGGGAGAGGAGTCGAAGGACTGGGGCCCGGTTCCGACGCGCCTGCAGGGAGCACTGGCAGGGGCGACGTCGCCTAAAAAGGGATGCTCGGAAAGAGAGAGAAGCGCCAGCTGCGCCCATTACCTCGGCTTCGATCTCTGCGATCTTCGCTAAAGTGCTGCTCATGGTGGCGAGTCCCCTAAGGGTGAAGTGGCCTCCACACTGACCCCCCCACGCCCGCGCCGGCGGACCGGCCACAGCCACCCAGTGCTACTGCAGAGCGCAAGCGCGGGACTTCCTAATTCTCGCGAGAGAGCTCCGCGTAAAGTATACCGCGAGACCTACAGCGCGGAGCAGCCTCCGCCCCCTCAGCCGCCCCGCCCCGTCCCGCGAGCCAGTGCGGTGTCATAGAGCCCGCGGGAGCCAGGGCCAGAGAGGCCGCCCCCGCCAGGGCCTCCCCGAGCGCGCCGAGGGTCGCGCGCAGCTCGGCCCCGCCCTGCCGGACTTGCGCCTGGCGTGCGGCTCTGCGCCCGGAGCTCGGCGTGTGATCAAAGCCGCACGCCGTTGCACTGACCCTGGGTGTGGGTGAAAAGTGTCCCCACGTTCCGCACC